TCTAGAAGATTGCATAAGATGAAACATTGCCCGGTCACTCTCTCTTCCTTCAAAAACATCTAATTTTATCGCGTCGGACGAGTTGTGCAGAGATGAGACACGACCCATCATGTTCTTCTTGAGACTAAACGGAAAGTTCCCACTATACTACGTTGAGACATTGTGCAATATATTTGAACACAATGAAAAGAAAGTGAAGGTATACGTTACTAAGACATGGTTGAATCACTCGAGGAAGCTTCTAAATAGCTTAACATGCATGAGGGGAACCACCTTGGTAATCAAGAACAAGAGCTATGTGGAAGTTTGCATACGAAGAAACATCACCCTATCACTCGCTCCTTCTCCTTCCCAGAGCAACACATCTTATTTCGATATCATGAGAGACCAGTTATGCGGAGACGAGACACGAATTGTCATGTATTTCTTGGAAATGAACGGGAGGTTCCCAACTTACTATGTTGAGGCATTGTGCAATGTATTTGGAGATAATGACAAGAAAGTCAAGAATTACGTTATGAGGAAATGGTTGGATCATTCGGAGAATCTAATTAATAGCTTAGCTTGTGCTTCTAGATAAAAGATGTAATTTTTGACAGATTAAAACAATTTAATCACATTATACTAAAATAATCTATTGACTTTCTTCGTTACCGTTTTGAAGTTAAACATTTACTTAAAATCACTCAAACAACTTCAAAACTCACATAAATCCCTCAAAAGTTAAAACACTCCAAAATCTCCTAAAACACTTGATTGAATACACCCGTTTTTGAGAATTTAATACAATGAACGGTAATGTAGAAAAATATACAATATGTAACTATGCATCTATTTTCTTGTGATATTTTTATAAGTACACATATAGTAAATTTTAAACATTATTTGAGAAATTATTTGTCATGCGTTATCACATCATTGATTATGAAAGAGAAATGATGCATGACTTAATATAAAATGTGATATGACTCTCATTTATTATGATATTTACAATTTTATTTATGAATTTTATTTTTGGTGAGATTCTTAAAATACAATAATAACTTATGTGTATTTTCACAAGTAAAAAAATAATTAATAACATAAACATAAATATATAAAAAATTCACATTAAGCTCGAAATGTTCAATTTCTGAGTTTCATTTGCTTGTCGCATATGGGATTCTTTAATTATTTCGTCAGAGTCAAGAAAAGGAAGGTAAAAAGAACCAAGCTTTGTCGACAAACCATTCCAGTTTGTAAAGACATAAAAAGAATCAGTGAACTCTCTGATGAATTGCTGATTAAGATATTGTCGTTTCTTCCGACAAAAGTGGATGTTTCCACTAGAATCTTGTCCAAGCATTGGCAGTTTCTTTGGATGTGGTTGCTTAAACTCGAGTACCATAATTACATTATCCAAATTCTTCTGCACCTAGAGAATTTATCGAAAAGAATCTACCATTACATAGAGCTCTGGTCATAGAAAGGTTGTCCCTCAAGTTAATTGATCAACACCTTCAACCTGAAGGTATTAAACGGTGGGTTGAAAATGCAGTTTCTCGCTGTTAGATTCGGGTTTATTGTGAGCTTTCAACTTAAAACCAATTGGTAATTAGTGGACTGTCCCTAACTCTATATATATTACTTAAGGTCCCAATGAATTCTCGATGTGGATATATATATCTCTAATATCCCTTCTCGAGATGATGGCTCTTATCGGTCAGAAATATCGGAACTTTAAGAAATTTATAGTCGGTCGAGTGAGTCAAGTACGATAGTTATACCCAGTCGGAAGATTAGCAACGACCTTTATACCCGGTCGAAAGGGTTAATTAGGGGGTATAAGTGGGAACTGAATTGATAATGATTCTTTGAATTTTCAAGTATAGTGTTATTGGTTTATTGATTCTCACATTCTTATTAAAATCTAGTGTTATTGGTTTGATGATTATATAATTATATACAAAATCATTTGTTATTCAAAAAGTTTAGATTTTAATTATTCTACAAATCTATAAAAGTAAGTGTTATTGTGAATTGAATTCTTAACATTTTAACTCACAAAATAAGATTTTGAGAATACTACATGTTTTTCTTGAATTCTTAAAATCATTACATTATTTTATTTTCATAGATTTTCACAATATATAAAATTTTATACAACTCTTTCCAAATTAAACAAATCTCTTAAGTTTTGAAATGAACAAACTCTATAGAAATTTAAGTCCTAATATACCCCTTAACTAATTAGGAGTTCAGAGTTTTTAGGATCTGAACCTTGATACCATATTAGACTTGGGTTTATTATGGATTTTTAACTTAAAACTAATTAGTGAGTAGTGGATTGGCCATAACCTTTATATATTACTTAAGAACCTACAGAATTCTCGATGTGGGATATATTATCCCTAATGCACCTTCTCGAAATGATGATTTTTATCGGTTAGAAATCTCGAAAATTTAAGACATTTATACCCGGTCAAGCGAATCAAATACGAAAATTATACCTTATTGTAAAGTTAAATTTTTTTACCGTATCTATAAATTTTTAGATGGTCATGATATTTCGAGAGACCACAAGAAAGAGATATTGCAGTTTACATCTTGAAAATTTCTTTCCGCTTACAGACAGCAACAATCATTGCGGACACATTTCAACATTGTGTTCCAAACCTTAAGATGATGAAGGAGTTAGCATTTTCATCCGAAGCTTTAAGCACATGCGAACTTGTATTGTTGAAGGGTATCCTTTTCAGAAAGAAGATTTTATTTAGTAACTACATGAAGCTACAAACAAGAAATATATTACTAAATATTACAAAAATGTAAAATTTGTTCCATAAATAAATATTAAATAAAAAAGTAATTTAACGGGGATTTTCGGATTTAGAAATTTAAACAAGTAATAATAGGGCTGTGCATTTTATCCGGACTCAAAAACTCCCAAATTCGTTAAAAAGACCCAAACCAAAACCGAATAAAAAAACAAATACCCGGAGAGGTATCGAATTATCAGAGATTTGATATCCAAACCTGAACGAGTATTACCCAAACCCAAATAAATCTCAGAAGATAACCGAACACACACACATATATATACTTTCCCCTATATTTCTAATTTATTTCTCACATTTTAATCAAAATACTTATATTGATGATGCACATGACTTAACATCAGATGTTCTACATATAATTAAAGAAAAACTAATCTGCGATTCAATTATAATGCATATAAAATCATCTAATTTATTAAAAATGAAAAAAAATGTGTTAAGTTAATGGTAAATTTTGAAGTACAGAAAATTTGAACAATAAAGAATTTCAATTATTTTTAATAATCTAAACATTTAAGTCTGACGAGATAACTAAACTCAAAATAAAAATATCTAAATCCGATATGATACGTAAAATTACCCCCAACATGTTCTAAATTTCTATGTTGAAATATCCAAATAACCGATCCGAGCCGAAGGTAGACGAACATCCATGCTTAAGAAGTTTTAGTTCCGGCAATGTTTTTAACTCCGACTCGGCCACTGAACCGGACATCTTATCGGGTCACTGGGTTACTGGATCAACCGCAGGCAAACCGCCGGTCAATGCATTATTTAATTTCAATATATAGTACAATATATTAATTATTAAAAATATACGAGAAATTTCACATTTTTTAAAAAAAATATAGAAAATATATAAATTTGCTTCTTACAAAAATATAGAAAATATTTAACTTTGCTCTCTTTATTTTCATTTTCATTTTCATTTTCATTTTCATTTTCATTTTCATTTTCATTTTCATTTTCATTTTCATTTTCATTTTCATTTTCATTTTCATTTTCATTTTCATTTTCATTTTCATTTTCATTTTCATTTTCATTTTCGTTTTCGTTTTCGTTTTCCTTTTCATTTTCGTTTTCATTTTCGTTTTCGTTTTCGTTTTCGTTTTCATTTTCATTCTCGTTTTCATTTTCGTTTTCATTTTTATTTCACATATAAAATATTTAAAATTAATTTAAATTATTTAAAAACTTTTTGAAAAAAATAGGAGTTGAGAGATATAGTAAAACATAACAAGACTTACATAAGTTTTAGATATGTATTATTTTTTCATTTTTTAGAGGCGTAATGAAATGTTCTCAAAATTTAAATAACACAGTAAATTTTTAGTTGATATTATATATGATTTTTTAAAATTAAATAAGATTAATAAAATTGATTCACAAAAATATTATTTATTTATAAACATGTAAAATCAATAAATTAAGATAAAATTTAGAAACTAAGAGGTTAAAACAAATGTTATCACTATATATGAAATCACCAAAATTTTTAAAATAAAGTTGAAGGAGATATATAATATATTTGATAGCACGAAAAATGATAATTTCATGAGAAAATTACAAAAATAAAAACCTGATTTCTTATTCTTTGTATACAAAAATATATTTAATAAGGTATTTAAGAACTTCAGTTTAAACAAAAAAAAGTATTTAAAAGCTTTAGAAAAATTAAAAAAAATAATTCAGTGATTTATACGATGGTTCAACCAATAATAAAATTACCAGATTTAAGAATTTTTAATAGATTTTTATCGAATTTTTAATTAGTAGATATTTTTTTAAACTAATATTGGATTACTTATTGGTCACGGATTTTGCGGCCGAACCGCGGATCTTAGTGGGGCTTGAAAATATTGAGTTCTGGTTTTGTATTGGTTGGTTCTGGTTCAAGTAAAATGGCAAGGAGTAGTTTCATATTTATATTTGATGATCGGAAAGATCCTTCTCTTTTTTTTTTCTTGTTTTTTGACGAAAAGGGAAGAGATCCAATTCAAAATCTCTCTCTTCTCTCTTCTCTCTCTCAGGCGCAGATTTTTCCAGATCTCATCATTCCGAATCTCAGAACCGAGAGAGAGAGAGAGAGAGAGAGAGAGAGAGAGAGAAGGAGAAGGAATCATTTTGAAGGAGGTAAAAAGACAAAAACAAGAGGCGGAGCTGCGTGTGTGAAAAGGGAACAAAATGATAACGATCCCTTACCTCACGGTCGTATCCACATACTTCAGCTACGGCTTGCGCTTCGCCTTTGGACAGCTTCGAGACTACTCCCGTCTTATCGTCGATTGGTGCTCCACCAACAATCTCCAGGGATACGCCCCCATCTGCTTGGCTCATGAGGATTTCTACATCAGACGCTTGTATCATCGGATTCAGGTACACCTCTGTTTCTTTTGATTAACTTCCTCTAAGGGGGGGGGGGCGAATAAATGAACAAACAAATCATTTTTAGGAGCAATTGAATTAAATCAGTTTTTTTCTAATGAGAAGCATAGAGTGTCAATAATCAACATAATTGGTTTAGAGTAAATTCATCATTATGTTCTTCAGTAAAATGTGCAGAGATGTTTATCAAATTTGTGTTTTTATCTCTAGACTTTTGATTCACAGGTCTTGCTACTTGATTCCTAATGTTTCTTTTTTGTTTTGTATGTGTGAAGGATTGTTTTAATCGTCCCATATCAATGCTCCTGATTCTTGGGTTGATGTTAGCGAGAGGTACTCTACTGACAACAACAAGACTCTCAAGTGAGTCTCTATCCTTCCTTACTTTCTATATGAAAACCATATATAATATTTGGAACTCAAGGGTGTTCACAGAATAATAAACCTTTGGTGGTTGCAATGCAGGCGAACAACAAAGAGCACAAGGTGCCTTATTTTGGGATCTTACAACTATCTTGGATTTGGTTCTTTCGATAAATATTGCACCCCTCGTGTTATTGAGTCTTTGAAGAAGTTTTCAGCGAGTACCTGCAGCTCTCGCGTTGATGCAGGTTCAGTTTCTCTATTACTGTATTAACAATCTCTTCTCTTTGTTGCTGCCTGACATTGGTTTGTTACTGCCATCAGGGACTACATCTGTGCATGCTGAAATTGAAGAATGTGTTGCCAAGTATGTGGGGAAACCTGCTGCTATTGTCACTGGCATGGGCTTCACAACAAACTCTGCTATTATTCCTGTCTTGATCGGAAAGGTACCTATGATGCTACATCTTGTGTTACTCCTAATGATCTATGCTTTATCATCTCGGTTGCTGCCTTTGTGTACAGGGAGGGTTGATAATAAGTGATTCTTTGAACCATACTTCTATTGTCAATGGTGCCCGAGGTTCAGGAGCCACTATCCGCATTTTCCAACACAACAGTAACCATTTCTTATCCAGATTGTTTTCCATTTAACCTGTTGGCATACCTTCATGCTCTCTTGTTGATTGACTCTCAGTGCCTGCTCATTTGGAAAGAGTATTGAAAGATAAAATCACTGAGGGACAACCCAGGACACACAGACCCTGGACGAAAATTATTGTTGTTGTTAAGGGTATTTAAAGCATGGAAGGGGAGATATGTCAACTGCCCGAGATTGTCTCAGTATGCAAGAAGTATAAGGTGAGGTAACATGGTACACTATCTTTAGTGTTCCAACATTGGTGGAGATTAAGGAATTCGAGCAACGGAACTATTCGTTTGCGACTTCAAAATATTCTAGATTAGTTTGTTTTCTGGTGTCTAACTTAACTTCTTGTATGTGCTTGTTTCAGGCCTATGTTTACTTGGATGAAGCTCACAACATTGGAGCAATTGGGAAAACAGGCAGGGGTGTTTGTGAACTTCTTGGAGTTGAACAGCTGATGTGGACATCATGATGGGAACTTTTACGAAATCTTTCGGATCTTGTGGTGGCTATATTGCTGGATCCAAAGTTAGCAATTATATACCTTTATTTTGCAGTTATATAAAGATCTCTTTTCATAAACCGACGAACCATGTCAAAGATGAGTAATAAAGACGTAATCCTAACTCAGTGAACCATTTGATTTGTTTAGGCAAGTAGTGCGCTTCATCTCAAAATCAACCAAGGGCTTATAGCATATTTTGTGTTTTCAATTTCTTTAGGACCTCATACAATATTTGAAGTACCATTTCCCGGCTCACCTTTACGCAACATCAATTTCAACTCTTTCAGCACAACAAATCATATCGGCCATAAAAGTCATCCTTGGAGAGGACGGTTCCAACAGAGGTATCTCTATAGATTCTTTTGCTATTTTAGCTTAATAATCTCAAGTTATATAGTCTCAAAATTCTTCTAAAAACCTGAGGCAGGTGCACAAAAGTTAGCAAGGATAAGGGAGAACATCAACTTTTTCAGGGCCGAGTTGCAGAAGATGGGATTTGAGGTTCTTGAAGACAATGATTACCCAGTCATGCCAATAATGCTTTACAATCCAGCAAAAATCCCAGCCTTCTCAAGGAAATGCTTGCGAGAAAACGTAAGTATAGACTCTTGTGTTTTTTTCTTCCCAATATCTCACTTGCTTCCAGACAAAAGAGATTCACAACCTCTATGTTCAATATACGTTTAAAACTGTGAACAGGTCGCAGTTGTAGTTGTTGGTTTCCCAGCTACACCTCTATTGCTAGCCAAGGCTCGTATTTGCATATCTGCATCTCGCTCAAGAGAAGATCTTAATAAAGCTCTAAAGGTAAAAGAAATAATCTTTCATTGAGTTCACTCGCTTCCTATCCTATATCATACCATTTAACTGATGAGAGCCTTAATAATTTCTCAGCATAGTTTACAAATGTTTTGAGTCTAATACCCCCAAAGAAAGACTGAGAAAGGGACCATGCTTGTAGTCTTATAGATAGTTCATCCAGAAATTGATTCTTGTTCGTTTCATACTCTTATGTGTTATGATAGGTTATAAGCAAAGCAGGTGACCTTACCGGAATCAAATATTTTCCAGCAGCTCCAAAGAAGCAAGAAGAAGAGAAAGATAGAATCAAATTGGATTAAAACCCTAATGCATCATCAGTTTTCTTACCCAAAGAGGTTTTGATCAGTACTAATTAGCATTAGTTTACTATTTTTCTTGCGGTTCTGTCTTTTGTTGTGTCCCCTCTACTTGTCTTGAAACTTTGTGATTGTTCTTCTTTCATTTTGTTTCTTTGGTTTTGTCAGAGTTAATTGTATAGTTTCCTTTTAAATGTTTGCCCTAAAATTACAGATGCTATTTGATGACATTTGTGCTTCGGATATTGTGGCTTCACGAAGCTAATAAACGGTATCTAATTCATTCGGACAGAAGCAATTTTTTAAAAATTCGAATTGTTTTGTTTGTCTCTTTCAACCTCTGAAGAAAAGAAAATAAAAAAAAAAGTCATAGTTCATTTACAATTCTTTAGAATAGTTTAAACGTAAGATTCCCTATATATTAATTGAGAAGTATTACAATATTACAATATAATCTGTCGAGTGGCAAAGGAGGTCTGGTAAAATGCTCCGATGATGTAGTCTTCCCCGCCAGAGGTATCTACTATGATGATCTTCATTTCTTCCTGTTCAAATATCATCACTCTGCCGCCGGTAGGATTCTTGATATCCCTATGGCCATGGATTCTATGGAACTTATGAAAGGAAAGAAATTAAGTATTGATTTGAGGATAAAGCTTTCTCCAGTATGGAGGTTATTAACAAGCCTATATCAGACGCTCGAGAGTGGCAAAATGCTCAAACTCCTGATCGGTTGAAACCCTTAGAAGAGCAACGAACCTCTCGTAAACAGAGGAATTTTCCTCAGCTGCGGGATCCCCCCGACCCAGTCACTTGTCATGTGGATGCGGCCTGGGATTCTAACTCCAATAACTGCGGTTTGGGTGGGTTGTTTACAGGTCTCCTTTCTTGTACCAGGATCCCTCATTTCTGTGAACATCATTCTCTTGTCTCCTCTGCGCTCATGGCTGAAGCGCTTGCAGTTCGTCTGACAATAATGACCGCTGCCTTTGCAAACATTAAACGCCTTGTGATTCTGTCTGACTCCCTTACTCTTGTCAACCTATTGAAGAGCAAGGAGTCTAGGCCAGCTTTGTTTGGTATTGTGTTTGATATTTATCACTTTGGTTCCTATTTTGATTTCATCTCTTTCTCTCATGTACCTCGCTTACTTAACCGTTAGGCTGACTCGCTGGCTAAGTCTGCTCTTTTGTCTTTGAATGTAACCTCCCCTGAAGGAGCTTGAACAGTATTAGTATGAATGATAAATATTTGATAAATAATTTTTTTTATCGTCCATCATTTTCGTTTTATTTTATATTCTTAAAAAAATAAACAATCACATTAACCATATAATCAAAATTTAGATTTTTTTTTCTCATATGCTATATTTTGAATTCTTTAAACGACTATAAATTATGTTGATAATAATTTTTGTATCGTCCATCATATTTGTTTAATTTTATATTCTTAAAAAAATAAAACAATCATGTTAACCATATAGTCAATAGTTTTTATTAACCTAACGATAAAATGAATTAGTAGTGTACAAAATAATATTTTACATTCTTTCCATTAAAAAATGTTACGGAATTACTTAAAATGGTTAATATATATATATGATAATTATTTATTCTGAATAATAAATATTTGATATTAATTTTTGAATCGTCCATCATTTTTTCGTTTAATTTTATATTCTTAAAAACAATTAAACAATCACATTAACCATATAATCAAAATCATATGCTATATTTTGACTTTTTAAACGACTATAAATTACTAAGACTATTAAATCCCACAATGAAATTTTTTGATCAAGGGTTTTGTTATAATAAAATAAAAATAATTATATGACCATATAAATATGAAATCTCATTTAATATATAATCAGATTATATATATATATATCTTTTAAATAAAATAAATATCATATATAAAAGACATAAAAATGTTAATTTCAAAATTTTCATTGAGTAGGAAGCCTCAATTAATAAATATTCATATTAATAAAAATAAAATTTTGTTCCAACTAATATAAATATGTTAATAAAATCATATGAGTACAAAGCCTCACTAATAAATAGAGTATTTGCACTCCCTATATTAACATTATAGTGTATTTAGTTATATACACATTTCAACTATTCTCAACTATTCTTTTTAAGTTGTAATGACAATGTTGCCCCTATTGCTTACATCAAATCAAAAATGTTTCTGATATCAGTTCTTTCTCTTACTCTCTCAATTTTTACTCGAAAATAAAAGATAAAAGAAGAAATATGAAAACTCTCTCTCTCTCTCTCTCTCTCTCTCATCCTTAGTTCTCTTTTTTTTTCAAAACATCTTTTATAATATTTACTGTAACAATTCATATAATTTGAAAGACAACAATTTGCCACTATCAATAAGAGTCAAGACGAAGAAAGAAATCTAATTGAAATTTCAAAAATGATCTTGATTGTTCAAAGAACCAGAAACTTGTTGGCAATGGATAGATCGATGTGGTTCCTTTTCTATCTATCTTTTTTTTAATAATGTTCTCTGAATTATTGTTTTGTTATCTGATGGATGATTGTTATCTTTCAGTGATTTCTTTCCGGGTATATGATTGTATTTTATGCTGCTTGAAACTGGATTCGATCATCTTTGGCTCCCTGGTGATTTGATTGTTATATTGAATTTCTGGGTTTTCATGCTTGTTGATGTAGGTTCCTGAATTTTTGTTTCATAATCCAAAGAATTGAAGCCACTATCTTTGCAGAAGTAGTTGCGAGTTCAGTATGTGGAGTGTTTTTTATGTTGCTGGCTTAAGATTTTAGCTGAAGAAGGTAAATGACGAAATACCCCACTATTCTTTTTATGTTGCTGGTTTAAGATTTTAGCCACTGTCTTTTTATGTTGTTATTCCAATTCATTTACACATTTCAACTATTCCCCACTATTCTTTTAAAGTTGTAATGACCATGTTGCCCCTATTGCTTACATCAAATCAAAAAATGTTTTTGATATCAGTTCTCTCTCTTACTCCCTCAATTTGTACTCAAAAAGAAAAGATAAAAGAAGAAATATGAAAACTCTCTATCTTTCTCTCTGAACTTTAGTTCTCTTTTTTTTTCAAAACATCTTTTATAATATTCACTGTAACAATTTATAATCTGAAAGACAACAAATTGCCACTATCAATAAGAGTCAAGACGAAGAAAGAAATCTAATTGAAATTTCAAAAACGATCTTGACTGGTCAGAGAACCAGAAACTTGTTGGCAATGGATATATCGTCGTTTTTTTTTTAAAAAAAAATGTTCTTTGAATTATTGTTTTGTTATCTAATGCATGATTGTTAGCTTTCAGTGATTTTTTTCCGGGTATATGATTGTATTTTATGCTGCTTAGAATTGGATTTGATCATATTTGACTCCCTGGTGATTTGATTGTTATAATGAATTTCTTGGTTTTCTTGCTTGTTGATGCAGGTTCGTGAATTTTTGTTTCATAATCCAAAGAATTAAAGCCACTGTCTTTGCATAGTGCTGAAGTAGTTGCGAGTTCAGATATGTGGATCGCTTTTTATGTTGCTGGCCATGAAAGATATTGTGATGACCCAAGCCCAACACCCCAACTAATTTCGGCCCAACCTCAAGGCCCATCCGAATATACCCAAGGTACTGACTATATAAGCCTAATTCCTCACCTTGTTTTCTCAGAAACTACATGCAAAAGAAAAAGAAAAGAGAGTTAGAGAGAGAAAGAGTTTAAGAGAGAGTTTGGTGTTTGCATGTAGAGGCTGAGNAAGGTACTGACTATATAAGCCTAATTCCTCACCTTGTTTTCTCAGAAACTACATGCAAAAGAAAAAGAAAAGAGAGTTAGAGAGAGAAAGAGTTTAAGAGAGAGTTTGGTGTTTGCATGTAGAGGCTGAGCCACCAGAACTCGTCGCCGGAGCCACCACACGCAAGGAACTAACTGAGCTCGTCACCACCGACCCCCAGTCTAGGTAAACCCGGAAACCACCACCTTTTTCGAGTTAGTTTTGATACGTTTAGTAAATCGACCATAACTTCCTAACCGTTGAGAATCTCGTGAATGCAAGCCTACCACCGTGTTCTACTCGTCGAGACGAAGCCGTAGACCCCGAAAACACCGCGATCCGACACCGTACGAGCCGTCACGCGCCAGTTGAAAATCACCCTTCGCGCGCGCGTGAAAGCACGCGCCGCCGCGAACCACCGGAGCTCCGCCGTCGCCTCGCCGGAGCCGCCGTAGCCAGCCGCCGTCCGTCCGCCGCCGGGAAGTCGCCGCCGCCGGAGATCTGCCGGTAAGCCTCCGCCGTCCTCCGCCGTCGCCGCCGGTGACCAGCCACCGGTGACTCGCCGGCGACTCGGCCAACTCGGCTGAGTCGACTCGGTGAGTCAACTCGGTTGACTCGGTCAACGGTTGGTTTGACCGGTTTAATCGATTTCGGTTTGGTTAGGGTAAACCGGCGGTTAAAATCAATTAGATTTCGGTTAGGGTAAACCGGGTAATTAAATTGATTTAGTTTCGGTTAGCGCAAACCGGTTGGTCCAATTGAATTCGATTTCGGTTAAGGAAAACCGGATGGTTTAATTCAATTTCAATTTGGATAAGGTTTGACCAGGGTTGACTTTGACCAGGCGGGTTGACTTTTCCGTAGACTTTGACTAGGCCCGTTTTAAACCGTTCGAAAGCCGTTCTGACTCGATTTTTCGCCCTGGTTTCAGATTTGGAGTCTATTTGAGCACCTGGAGACCATAGATACCACTTCTCTTCATTGCTAAGGTGAGGGCTACTCCGTTTGAATCCCGAACTAGTTTAGTACTGCTATTATGATAAGTCTAGTTTCGAAACGTGATCCGTCTCTATGAATCGAGTCTTGCTTGTTTATTTTTATCTTTGATTGATAAAATGGAAATAGGATAATAGAGGATTCAACGGTTGTGTGAAATGATTGACGCTGAGTATTGTTATATATATGTATATATATAGTTACATAGTAGGGACTAT